AGGAAGGAAGGAAGGAAGGAAGGAAGGAAGGAAGGAAGGAAGGAAGGAAGGAAGGAAGGAAGGAAGGAAGGAAGGAAGGAAGGAAGGAAGGAAGGAAGGAAGGAAGGAAGGAAGGAAGGAAGGAAGGAAGGAAGGAAGGAAGGAAGGAAGGAAGGAAGGAAGGAAGGAAGGAAGGAAGGAAGGAAGGAAGGAAGGAAGGCACTTTATACCTACTGGTACAGTTGAATATGGTATATCTCAAAGGGCTGGCTGAGTGGCTCTTGTATTTAAATGTGGTAATCATTCATTTCCGCTATGCTTTTGCAACTGCTTACATCCTTGGGCAGCTTGCTAAGTGCCTGACAGATATAACTGAATGTTCAGTAACCCCTTGATGATGGCTCTGTACTCTGGAGTTTGGAGTGTGCATTATAACTCTGTCATTTGGCCTTACATCTCTGGCTCTTGTTTCTCACGTCTGGGTAACTTAACAGAAGAGGAGCAGAAGTTGAACTTCTTAGTGGAAAGGAGAAATTTGCCTTTGACCTCTCCTTTAGAAGCCTCCTTGAAAACCAGAGCAGGGAAACTCATCTCAGTTGAAAGACATGGAATTGCGAGGATAATAATTGAAGTGGGGAAATATATGGGCCAAATATAATTAGCCATGCCTATAGCTACGTCGACCCATTCGGTAGTACTGCTGTCTTGCCAGCCCTGTTAAAGCAAGGAACAATTCCTTGTAGCAAATGGTCCAGGGCTGGTGAGATTTCTGCTATTACCAGCAAGGGTTCCCTCGCATTTGTTACCCCATTGTCCTTGGTCTCCTTGTAGCTGGAAGGTGCTAAGAGAAGATGAACAAAAGTGATCTGGCCTGGGGAAGCAGTGCCAAGGACCCAGATGGAAAGGAGATGTCGCCTTGTCTGGTCAGCATGGGGGCCCTCCTCTACTACTGCACCCTGCTCTGCGTGGGCTTGCCTGGTAAGACAACACCGGGAAATCGGCCAGCTCCGTGGGTGCATCAGAGAGATGTGTTCATGGCACTTCAAGCAGCAGCAGGAACAACTCATAGCTGAGAGATTTTATGGTTATTTGTGTAAGCGTCCGGAGCAGTACTGCCAAGCTGACATATAGTAAAAAGTATGCAAAAGGGCACAATAAAAACTCCATCATATCAACCAAAACAAATACAACCCAGAAACCAAAGCACATAAAAGCCTGCAGAAGGAGGGACTCAAGCATTTCCTGTGGGAAGGACGCCCAAGGGAGTATGGATCCCACCAAGAAGTCTCTGTGGCTACCAAGAGAATAGGGATGGAAATAGGAGCCAAAGGCCATTCTGGGATCAGAGAGAGGGACTTGTGGAAATGAAATAGGAAATGGAAATGGAAGTCTTGGGGATCAGGCCTTGAAATATCCTACATAGGTGAATTACAAGCAAACCCAACTAGGGAGCTACAAAAGAATGAAAAACCAGGTGATCAGCAGCTACAAAGCAAGGAAAATAAAACCTATGCAGCCAAATCTGAGAAGGCACATTTTCAGGCAAGGATAATAGCTGGAAGGAGATTAATTGAGCCCTTCATTTCAAAATCAAAAGTGTTTATTTTTTTTTTCTTTACATGTAAATGCAGTGGGATTCATTAAGTGTTACCCAGCTGTTACCTCTTAGCAGCATTCACACATTACATTGGTAAGTGACAGATGGAAAGTGTTTGCCCTTAGAATGGGAAAGATGTTAAACTTTGCTAAAAGAGAACTGCTGAATTCCCATAGAGTTGATGTATGAAGAAATCCTATGAAAGAAGCAACATTATAGTGAGGATTGCGGGTATTTTTTCTAGGGATTTTCAACATATAGTGTACAGGAATGTTAATAAAATCTCTGCATAAATTTTATATTACTAAACATTTATTATTTGGTTGTTAGATTTATATACTGCCTTTTGTTCAAAAGCTCACGGGAATGCACACAGTGCTTCCACCTCTTATTTTTCCCCATAAAACAAGACTGCAATCAGCCCAGCCTCAGCCAGGGAACTGTGGCTGCAGATGGACTAGAACCTGGGTCTCCCTGGGGCTGGTCCAACACCTTAACCTCTATCCCACAATCACCACAATTGTCCACTTCTTTGGGTAACTTCATCAAAATCCTTCCAGCAAAATACCTTTCATTTGCCCTGTGTTCATCATCATTAGTAAAAATCATAAAATGTTAGAGCTGAGACCTTGGAGGCCACCCAGTCAGTCCAATAGCCTGTTCAGTGCAAGAGGTCTGTGTGTTCTCCAATGTCTGCTGAATTTTTTAGCAAAGGGAAACCCAACTTTGTTTCTTGTAGTGCTAAAAAATGGGATTTCTTATCCCAACATTTTAATGCACCATCAGGAAACATTAAAAAAAAAAAGAACCTGACTAGGCTGAGAGGAAAAGTTTATTAGGAAGGACCAACTTTACCTATATCTGCCTATTATAGTATTAATTTCAAGGTGTGCACGAGAGGGCGCTATAAACTCACAAAGATGTGGAGAAGACAGCTGGACCTCCACTTAGGCAGCTGAGTTATTTCCAGCTTTAGGAGTCCCTGCAGAGAGAAACTAGGGTGGTTGGTTCAGAGAGAAAAGTATGAAATCTGCTTGTCCCACAACTCCATTGGTGTTAATATGTACAATGTCACCAATATTGAAAATGATTTGTTTTCACAAAGCCCCTGGCATTACTTCAGCAGTTCATGGGAACTTACCCCCCTCTGTTTTGAGGTTTTAATCCTCGCTGTAGGCTTGGACACAATTCCTCACCTGGAGAGATGCACTTTCAGACTTGCAAGTTTCTGTTAATGTAGCCTTACAATAAAGGTAATGTTAGTACTCATGGTTGGTGCTTCTTGTCTGGACTGCTTCTAAGGGCTGACATTTTCCTACTTCCTATTTCATTTGTGTGCTTGCGTCCCAACTGCATTTATTACAGTTATGTCTAGCCCTTCTTCTGAAGTCCTCTGGCTGACATCCACAGCTGTTGGTTACCTTTCCCAGCCTGTTTTACCTTCATGATAGCCCCATCAAGGACAAATAAGCTAAAGAGAGACCATTTGGGCCAATTTTATAGAAATCAAATATTAATTGCAGCCATGCGTACGTACGAATTTTCTGTTGTCAAATACTAACTCATTCTAGAGCACATTCAAACTCCTTATCCACAGATTCTTTTTACTACCCTTTTGTTTTCCTTTCTTTCTTGTTCCAGTTAATGTTTTAACCGCTGCTGTGCTTTCCCATCTTGCTGCTCGCACCCAGAAATCCTCGTACTGCTACCTCTTGGCCCTCACTGCTTCTGACATCCTGACCCAGGTCTTTGTGGTCTTTGCCGGCTTCATCGTGCAGGCAGCCATCTTGGCCCGTGAAGTCCCAGGTGCCTTTGCCCATGCAATCAACATCTTGCAGTTCGCAGCCAATCACGCCTCCATCTGGGGGACTGTATTGTTGACTGTGGACCGTTATGTGGCACTCTGCCATCCCCTGCAGTACAGGGCTGTCTCCTTCCCAGAACGCACCCGGAAGGTAATCGGCGCCACGTTTGCAGTCTCACTGGCTACCGGAGTCCCTTTCTGCTGGTGGCTAGATGTTTGGCATGATGTCTACCCGCCCAGCACTATGGACAAAGTCCTGAAGTGGCTTCGTTGCTCCATCATATACTTCATTCCCTGCACTGTCTTTCTGCTGACAAACTCTGTGACCATCTGCATGCTCAAGCGATCAGGAGATGCCAGCCGACGCCTCAGCAGAACCACAGCCATCCTGCTGGCCATCACCACTGTCTTCATTGTCCTCCGGGCTCCACGGACATTTGTCATGATCTACCACCTCTGTGTGGCATCAGTCAGCCAGGACTGGCGAGTGCATCTCGCCTTAGACGTTGCTAATATGGTAGCCATGCTCCATACCTCCATCAACTTCTTCCTTTACTGCTTTGTCAGCAAGACCTTCCGACGTACTGTCCGCGAAGTGTCAGTCTCTTACAGATTCCAGTGCACCCAAGCAGCAAGGAAGGATACCATGTTGGAACTAGCTCTGAAACCACTGGGGGTCTGGGCTGGGACTTCAGCTTAGGGAGATCAACATGCTTCTGCAACCAGCTCCATTTTGCTGAATGTGGGTTCCCTGGGTCTTTGGGGGTAGTAGCATAAATCTGAAACAGAAGGAATAGGGATATGCACATACATCTCTGTGTGTGCATATATTTAGCTATGTACGTTTGCATCTACTGTATGTAGCTGTGGATGTAAGTTTGCTTATGTGTATGTTTCCAGAGTGTAGCAAACATCAGACAAGGTTTTGGATGAATGTAGGCAACCATAAATCAAGTAGGAGCTTTTCAAGTGCCGATATGTTATTTCTTATCAAAGCCAATCAATTTCAACATTGTCTCACCTGGAACATAGAAAAATAAACATTGCTGCTTTTGACCACATAATAAAACTAACAATCACCAAGTTACCTTAGCAGAAAACAAAAGAGAAAACAACATGGCTGGAGACTGTGAATGATTGGCTCTACATACTCAGAAGCAACACAGGAAAATCTTTCCCCATGACAACCAGTTTGATGTTGTATTGCCTTCCCCCAACCTGACACCATCCAACATGCTGGAACTTCAGCTCCCAAAATTCTCAGCCAAAGGCCATATGATTTGAGAATTTGAGAGCTCCACTCCCAACATTTCTAGAAGGCACCGGACTGAGAGAGGCTGAGGTAACAGATCTTGAACCTCAGCTTCATCCCACTAATAGTTACTGGGATATTGACTTTCAGTCTAATCTACCTCATAGGATTGAGGTGAAGATAATGTGGAATAATGGCCACCTTTGTTGCCCTGAATTCCTTAAAAAAAGGGGGAGGGGGGAGATAATGAAGTGGTTTCATTCTGGAATTCTTTGTCTTCATTCTTTGCTCTATTTTTAAGTAATTAATTGTTTGGGGAAGGGAGGAAGGAGGGGAACCATACGTCCTCCTTTTGTTCTGTGGCCTTACAACTCTCATCATTGTTCAGTGGGGTGAGCCATCCATCAAGGGCAAGGACAGACCCACACTGCTATTTCTAAGAAAGCCCAACCAGGAAGAAGAGATGTTCCGCCTCAGTGGAATGCCTTTGGTCTGGGTTATCCCCAGCTCCTATTCACAATATCTGTTGTGATTCTGATTCTTCAATAGCCAGGCCAGTCTGTACAGTATTTAGAGAAAGGGGGAAGAGGTGTTTGTGTGTATTGATTTCCATATTACTGAAGGCAAAATACAAGGAGATGTTGAAGAAGCCATACCCTAAGAGTGAGAGAGAAAAGTAGTAATACCCATGTAATGACGTGTATTTAGAAGGGTGGAATTGGCAAAATTATTTCAAGCAAGCAATGCCCTTGTGCGGTAGATATCTGAGCCCTACAATCCATTCCATGCTTTCAAAACTCCAGACATTCTTCACTCCTCACTCCTCACCCCTAACTTTCCACTCCCATAAATATTTGCCTTTAGGTAGGCTTCTTTGAGTTTTTCTCCCTCCTTCTTTGAAAAGCTTCTTTCACACCCCTTCAGAGGGCCTGTCCAATCTGGCTGCCTCCCAAATAGCTCCAAGCACGACTGCCTGGAAGAAAAGCCAGCTATGTCCTGCCAAGCATCAACTCATGCTTTCTCCCATAGGCACAGACAGAGGCATACAGTTCAGCTTCAGATACTGCATGTAGGTGTGTAGGGACATTCACATGCTCTTATATCCATATACAAATTGGAATGTCTGTGCATGGAAATGTGAAGCAGACTTCTGCCACTAGCTGAAGCTTCTTGGTGGATAAGACAATCCAACATAAAGTCAAGATTCATGCATAATATTAAGTAATAATTGGTTTGCTTAATGTGGATCTAACATGTTGTGTGAAGGTACCTATAATGATTTATAAGCCATGGTTTGTGGCTTAATGTTACACAATCCCAGACCATTTTTATTTATTCAATAAACCATACTTAAACAAATTAGTATATGACTTAGCACAATTTGTGTGAAATGAATCAGAGTCACTGAGTCCTCCTTACATTTTGTACTGAATGAACTAATTTTCATTCAGGTGGGAAACCTGGGTTTGGGCTGTGTACCATTTCAGACTGTCAGAGCCAACACAAGAATGAGAGGGATCAGTGTTATAAATTTCACAAGTAAATGGAGAGCACTTATTTTTGTTTTGTATGGATAATTAATTTGCAAGTCTGCTTAGCTTTTGTTGTTACTGACTTACTATTACTGACAGTTATGGTCGTACTTGAAATGCTGACTACAGTTCCATTCACTTGAGAAAGGATATTGCAGAGTTGGAGAAGTTGGAGGAAAAGACAACCAAAAGGCTCAAAGAAAAATTAATACTATTTAATTTTCTTTAGCTTAGGAAAAAAATGGCCCACCATCAACAAAGTGGGTCCAAAGCCTTTTGACTAAAATTAACATATATTTAAGGTAATTTGAGGAACTCAAAAGCAGGGCTATTTCTCTTCATTCTGTGTGGCAGAACTTTTGGTTCAATCTTCTGCAAGAATGTGTTCCACCACGCAATTATGAAAAACAGGTTAAGCTTAGGTTCGATAGAGAGATTTTCAGGGAATACCAATTGACTTCAAATATGTTTAAATCTCAAAGGCCAAATGAGTTGCATCCTAGAGAAGTGTGTGTGTGTGTGTGTGTGTGTGTGTGAGAGAGAGAGAGAGAGAGAGAGAGAGCGCATGCATATACATTACTCTCTCTTCCATTATTCTTGAGAAATGCTGCAGAACAGGTAAATTTGGGGAACAACCAACCAGTCCATCTGACCTCACTGCCTTGGAAAATCCTAAAGTAGATCATGAAGCAGTTGAACTGTAAACATCTTGAAAACAATGCAAAGGTTTCAAGAAATCAGAAATCAGCATGGATTTGTGAATATTAATCCTACCTAATGAACCTTCTCTCTCTCTCTCTCTCTCTCTCTCTCTCTCTCTTTTTTGATCAGGCAATTTCTTTAGTAGATTTTAGGGCTGCTAAGGGAATAATATGAAGACCTGGTTTTGTCATCGCGCATGGGGTGGGGATGGGAATAGTCAGTGTTGGGGGTGGCTGGTTCCTTAGTCTTACCTTTGACTGATATTATCTGGCCACAGGC